AGAGGGACGTTGTTAGCTTTCCATATTCCGACACTTCAAAAGCTTCAGGAGCTTTCCGCTGAAAGCAAAAGTGATGATATTTATATTTAAATGTTTAAATGTTAATTTTATGAAAGAGAGTTTGACTGTCAAAGTGATTCTTACATGGTGAGAGGAGTCCTGATACAGGGCCTCTCTGGTGTGGGGCGAAACCGGCCTCATTAGAGGAGGCACACTGAGCTGCTGTTCACCTCCCACAGAGCACACAGGAGGAGGAGAAGGACGACGAGGAAGAAGGTCGCTTTGCTTCTCAGTAGTCCTGGCAACAAGAGGCACAACAGCCCTGATGGAAGATAAACAGAAAGTTAATGTTTATTTTCATGCGTGTGTAATGTCATGGTCGCTGGAATCCTTCATGTTTCTGAGGTTTGGACTCTTGGTTAATATTAAATCAAGTCACGTTTATTTATGTCCCACATTTAAGGCCAACAGACGCTGACCAAAGTGCTGCACAGCAATCATCTACAATGTTGGTTAATATTAGTGTCACATTCATGCCTAGCTACCTCCAGTAGGTTTAGTCTAATTATGTGGGTCTCAGTAACATCAGATAAATCTACTTTTACCCAGACCATGAAAACAAATGATAGCTGAGCACATGTGGATACTCAAGACAGCTAAGGTTTTAAATCTTCACTCTTCCACTTTAATATAAATGAAAGGGCTCACTGAGGGTCAGCAGGTATCTTTGGCAGCTGTGGCAGCTGTGTGGGCTCTTTGCTGTTGTTCCAGGGGTTGTAGCAGGATGGGTAGAGTTTGGCATAGCGGCTCCTCCAGGTTAAACGGGTCAACATCTCCTTCTTGATCTGCTCCCTGTAAGAGTTCTGGCTCTGAGTCGTCAGCAGGTCGCGCATTTTCTGCCCGGAAAGCCACATTTAGTGTGAGAACAGCTAACACAGACGCACAGGTTGCTTTCGACATTGTTTTTCTGAAAGATTAATAGTTAACACATAGAACTAGAAGAAGTGCCCTAACTTTGAGTTTTAAAGAGCAGAATCACAATACCAAACATCTGTAAGATGCAAATAAATCACAAATGTCACTGTGTGGACAACTTTTCATACTTACAAATAATTGTGCATTTTAATTTAATTATCTTGTGTCCATTTTTTGATCCTTCTTAAGCTGGAGCTAGCTATGAAGCTCTGAGTCCCTTTTATTTAAACAGCAGCTCCACAGAAACAGCACAACAGCCATCACAAACTGGCCATAAGAACAGTCAATGAAAAAGTCACAACAACATATCCTACCAGAGTTATAAAACAGCAGATTATATTTTTATAGTATAAACAAATGGCAAAAGATAATTGTTAGATATAATATAGTTTACCTTTTGTTCAATGCCGAGCTGTGCAGGATCAGTTTCTCACTGTGGAAGTGAGCTGTGGATCAGATAACGCTGGGGAACGCCAGGAAACACGACACTCCCTGTTTTTCAACTCCTACATACCTGTGTGTTTGCAAATAGATACCATTGTGGGCAGTAATATCAACTAATAAAATTCCTCACAAGTTTCTGACTGATAATTTTCCTTTAGCCACAAGCTAAATTTTTGGCAAATGTTGAGCAAATGGGAGGCCCTGCCTTTCAAAATAAGTCTCACACATGCGTTTTGGCAATTGAGTTTTTCTGTTAAAAGCTTTTTGTTGTTGGAAATAGGCAAGAATAAAGAAAGACAACAGGAAAAAAAAAGAATAAATCATTCCACAAGCAATCCAGTATAATTTTACTAAAGTTATTTCTGTACAATGACTTTAGTATATTAGTCATATTAAAAATAATCAGGAGGGGAAGTGCCAGATACCATGTGATGCTAATTAAATGCATTTTATTAACAGCAAATCACAATTATTATCAGCAATCACTTTCCCCCAACAGGGCGCAATAGATGGATGCACCTCTGTCTGCCTGGTTCTTCCAAAGGTTTCCTCCTGTCAAAAGAGAGTTTTGTCCTTGCCACAGCAAAATATTAGTAAAAGCTCTCCAAAACTAGAATGAGGAGTCGATTCTGATAATTGATGAGTGTTTCATTTTGTGCCATTTAAAATGAAATCCGACAAACTCATTTATTCATGGCTGTTAGGAAATCTAGAAAAATCTTGGAAAAGAAGAGAACCATAATGCAGAAACTTATAAAGTGTCTGCTGTCATGCAGTCCTCCACTCATGTTTCAGCCCCATATTCTCTTGAATGCATCAAATATGAACTCTGAAATTTGCATCATAGAATTGAGTTGAAGTAAAGCTAAAATGCATCGTTACTTTATACAGTCAACAATGATGAAAACCCTGGTTTAAAAAAATCTGTAATATTGCTATGATTTGATAACTTGACATATCAAATATAAAAAAAAATCACTCACAGAGTTTTTTTAAACTTTGATTGGTCAAACAGCAGTAGTGTTAGAAAGCAGTTGCTTTGCTGAATCTTGGTGGTAATCTAAATTAAATCTCTACCAGGTTTTTGGAAACAGAGTTGTAAAAGAAGGCAGCACAGTGGCTCAGTGTGGTCTCACAGGAGTCAGGCTGGGGTGCTTTTTGCAGCATCAGCTTCTTTCCGTGAAGAATTTCCATGTTCTTCCCATTCTGAGAGGTACACCTCCCACCCCTTTCCAGAAACACACTGTTCAGCTGGAAACTCTAAACTGGTGAGTCAGTTCTTAACTGGAAAATAAAATTGAATATTGAACAAGTACCTGTTTCTGCAACTTGATAACGTTTGCAGTAAATCTCATCAACCACTAGATGGAGAAGTTAAAAGTACAGTCAGTGAGTATATTTACTGGATGGTTAACAGATTTTTTTTGTTTTTTGACATTTTTGGCTCAGAAGTAAATGGCCTGTATTTGTATAGCGCTTTAGTAGTCCCTAAGGACCCCAAAGCGCTTTACACAACCAGTCATCCACCCATTCACACACACATTCACACACTGAATGATGATGATGATGTGTAAAATAAACACATTACAAGTCCAGGTTTCTGGGCACCCACATGTCTGCTGATCTCACCTGGACCCAT